GTAGATGTCTTAGAATCAACTTTGGTTTGTTCCATACTTTCAAACAGCACATGATATAACAATTATTTTTTATGTTCAATAAATATATGCAAGAATACTAATTTCTGGTAAAAATATGACATTCATCACGATGAGAAAATGCATAGAAACTTTTTTAAATCTTCTTATTCCTTCTAGATTTCTCGAGATAAATTTCCAAAGAAATTCTCCCGTGAGAAAACGACGGAAAATCTTCAGCGGAACTGACGTCACAAGTTGAATAACGCGTTGACCGTCTATTTGGTAGTCGGGAAAAAATCGATGATTCACTATTCAGTTAGATGAACAGCGTTGCCGTTTCAACCGATTCTTTACTTCTTTGGATATTATAACAATTATCGCTTTTAAAATTAACTGATTTCAATAATATCATGTATGAGCAAGACAGTTTAAAACTCACTTGTTCTTGTTTTCCTAAACACTGGATTGTGGCATGTTATCACATAGATATTAAAATGATGTCACCAGAATTTGAGGTTCATTAAAGAGTACACCAGAATATTTCAGTTAGATTGTTTTATTAACCTTTGTTAAAACGAATAATTGAGAATTAGACCAATTTTTGTCTCTGCTGATCGAACCTACAACGGGCTACAACCTACTCGATTACTAATCATGTCAGCTATAAACTTGAAGAAAAGGAAATGAGGGAAACAACCCTTATGGTACTTATAGTTATATACATATTGATGACATCAACTTCATCAATGAATATCAAATTACTCGTCAAATTATCACCAGTTCACAGTAGAATCGATTCTGAATTGGGAAAAACTTACTTGATTGTCACGTCAGTACTGGATCCGCCGAACGCTATGTTCGAACCGAGGTTCGAACGTTGTAGGGTATTTAAATGGTGTTTTTTGAAATATTACAGCATATTTTATCAAAAAATTGATGCATACACGTTATATTACTATACCATATTTCAATTATATGCACATTTAAATTGAATTGACGCATTTGTGTCCTTGCCTATGACGGAATTTACGTTCAAAATGGCCCAATAAAAATGTCATGAAAACATCCTTTCCTTGTAGGCGGAACATCAACTTTTTTCAACTAATTTTGCGCGAGTCAACTTGCGATACATCAATGTGTCGAAAAAATATCTATCTGAAAAAATAATTGAAAAATGTCTCTACCCGAAATAGCTTGGATTAATCAAAATGGAATGCTCAACGCAAAATTAGCGTGAGCTATAATCACAAGGGAATGCTCCACGCCACAGAGGGTAAGAGCCACGCGAAACGTTAATGTCACTACGAGTGTCACTACCTTTATGACGCATTTATCGTGGAAATATTCTGAAAACAAGATCCACGTTAGCGTGGTTCTAGACACGGCCTATTTTTATACATAAATGTATCTAAGTAGATAAATATATGCATCACAGGAGGTTCAGGAAGGCCGTTTCCTGAATAGAAAGTACCTAGCCACAAGAGGTATACCTAATTGATGAATCTTATTTGGACAGGTGCGTTTTAATGTACAGGGTGTTTCATGATACAGTATCAAGATTTCAGTGGCTTATTTTTCAGGTCAAAATATGCCTTTTTTCCTGTGTCTGCAAACGTAGTATTTGAGATACCTAGGTATTCAGTTCAAATTTGAGAAATATGTTACGTGTTTTCTTCGGGTTTACATCTCGGTTTACACCGAGACCATACTGTATGCCGAGTGATTGTAAGAATCTACAGGGAGATTTATTTCAGAGGTCAAGTTCTTTTCTGCTACCTACGACTTGTTAATTATAAAAAACCTGGTGGAAAACCGAGTGGAAAAGAAAAAAGCAAGAACAACTTCTTAGTTATGGTTGTGCTATTTGTCTACTGACATTTTTGGTCAAAATGAGATTTTATGGGTGCCGAATCAGAGTGGACACTGCGCATGTGCTGGCAAAATCAAATCAAGCTTCAAATTAATAGGATGCAATATCTCTTTATTTATTATAGGTAGTCTTCGCAAACAGGAGTTCATAGTGTTTCGTTCAGAGGAAAGCGAGAGAAAAGTAACTACGTTATGTTTTCGTCGATTTCAATGGCAATTGACTCAACAATTGATTATTATTCTATTATTCTTTATTCTGATTTCTGATAGGAGATTTTCATTCAGTATATTTTTCTCGGTATTTATATTTGAATTCGTGTACATAGGAGTTATTACTCTCGGAGTTATTGCCTAGTGTATTCTTATCTCCTCGCCCTGAAAAGGTGCAGGCTCCGCATCAATATGATCAATTATGATTTGTAACTCATGGAAGACCATTGGACTCAATTTGTCGGCCATTAAACAGCTGTTTGAATTTAGTGTTACTTTTTTTCATATAGATAACATTTACATAAAAATACAATGAACTTTCAGCTGAACCCTCGGCTGAACCTCAAGCATTCATCATTATTCGTCCTGTTTGTTAATCCAATCCTCGATTCAATCATTGTAAATACCTACTCTCTGAATACCGAGGTGAATACCTACCAACTCGAGTATACCAACTCTTTAAGTTCGCCTGAAGTGGAAAATCGATGATAAGTGGTTTAGGTTTTAGGTACCTACCTATATAGTAGGTATAAGTTACCTAATTGAGAATTATTCAACAGTTATTTCGAAATGAAAACTTATATTGTTCATTTGGCATAATTACGACCTTGCCTACGACGGCGCAAAAGACTACGAGTCGGACTGATTCTAGAGCTGATTCTGAACAGTTTTTTTTTTTCTTCTAATGCATATAGCATATAGTGTGAAAATCCTGCACGCCACTGGCAGAGAACTAACTGAAAGCGCTCTTCGTTCGTCGGGTCGGGTCTCCAAAGCAGAAAGCAGAACCAGGCCCTCCTCATCTATGAAAACCCGAGAACGAGCTCCTCTCGAATCGAATTCAAGAAGCACAAGGGCATTCGGACGAGCATTTGGATTCTTCACCGTCATAAAGGTTGAGAGCATATTGAGAGAGACGAGTCGAACACAGGGCCGGCCTTGGTAGTTTGCGTACACCAATTCGGCCATTTTTTTCCTGCCTGCGTCTGTATATCGCAGCGATGTAAGATTCGTAATATCGCAATATGAGTTACCTCATCGCAACATCTCAGATATATCATGTCGCAGATGTGTTTGCTCATGACCACTGTTACCTAAACGCGATATCTCAGACATGTCATGTCACAGATGTGTTGGATGGGATATTAAAAAAATAATAAGTATATTGGATACTTCTATTTCCTTGCTTGTGCTGAACAGGTAGTTTTTCGCAAATTCTAATTGCTAATGTTTTATACATGATACTAAAACTTCAGTATCATGTGTTTAATGCTATACCTATTTCACTACTGATATACGATTCGATGGGAAGTGGACTGCAACTTGAGTGTTAACGCATGATGAATTCATGACAGAACAAAGAAAGATATTAAGTATAATAATCAGAGCAATCAGCGTGAAGATAAGGGCTCGGATAAGGGCTTGTCGCAATGTAGGTTTTTAATACAGAAATTGAATAATACGTACTTCTTTGAATTTAAAATGATATTAAGTATGTATATACACCCTGAGGCCTGGGGTACACCCTCGGGTACACCTCACAGTAGTGAGTATTGAGAATTAATCACGGAATTAATGTAAGAATAATAGGTATAATAATGTTTAGATACATATTATTAGTAATAGTAGAATGAATACATGCATAACGTATGCAGATGAGATACTATCCGAGCTATATAATCATATTATAGCCAATAATTTTCATCACTCGAGGGGTAAACCCGAGGGTAAACCGCTGTCAAAATTGTGTACACTCGGTGTAGACCAAACTTCAATTTCACAAGGAATTTCAATTGTTTGTAGAACAGAATTAATTATACTGCACTTGAGACCACACTTTTCACTCATCAAAATTCCAAGGCATTCCAAGTACCTAACTCCAAGGAATTCCAGGGAATTCTAGTTATAGTTGACCAGAATCATACCACACTCCACCCCAAGTATTCCAGGAATTTCTGGAAATTCCAGGTGGTCGTTAACCAGAATTCACAGCACTTCACCCAAGGAACTCCAAAAGGGATTCCAAGGAATTCTATGGAATTCCAGTTGTTCGTACACAAGAATTCCACCGCGGTTTCGTCTCGTCACCACTAGAACGAATTGAACATCCAAACATGGTGGTGGCCTGTGATCTGCATCATCATACTGCACAATTTTATTACATAGTAATTACGCCCCTGGCTGCCAAACTTTTCGAAAATAATTAAAATTTATTTAAAAAAAAAACTATGAACATATGAAAAAGCAGATGACTGAGAAAGTTCCTATAGGTAAGTACTAAGAATACTAATTCTTCAGGAGAACTACTTGAGAACAGAACATTTGCCCCAGGATGATATAATTCTGAGGAATTAGATACTTTTCTTTCAATTATAAACTCAACAACTGCAAGTGAATTATTATTCTACGTAGAACTGAGTCCAAATTTTCAGGTAAAATGCGGTTTAGGCAAATTTTAGTTGACCTGCAATTTATTTGACATTGTCAATCAACTTCAAGTACAATGGAAAAAATTGACAAGGTAGGTAATTGATAAATATGATTGAAGAATTAAAGAACAAATGGAGCAAAAACATCATCAAATTCGATGATTTTTACCCACTTCTACTTTCTTGTACCTCACTGAAAATATTGTTCAGTAGGTGTATTATTGTCCTCGTTTTCTTGCATTTCTTGAGGGTGATAAGGTAAATTTGGAAATGGAACATTGAAATAAAAAACTCAGAAAGAAGTATATTGAAATTTCAGTTAAGTATCACAAACAATATAGGTAGGTATATCTCAATAAATATTTCATTGTACTTGAAGGTGTAATGACAATGCTGATATTAGTAGGTATGATGCGCAATACGAGCAGTCCGGTCCTGGAGCAGACAATCTGACCTGGACAACCTGTGCTGGGTTCTTTAACAGGTACTCACTTTAAATAATACACCTGTCCTTCAGGGGTACGAGCTTGTTCCCATCCGGGCGGCAGGGGGGTGTTATCTTCTGTTTTGGTCGCCACGTCGTACGACCTCTGTTTAATGTGATGTACGGGAGCCTGTGCCTGCCCCACAGCGTATGTTTGTTGAAGGGAAGCTGGAGAGCTGTGCGCCCGGTGGTGGGCAGTTTGCAGGGGTACAGAATTGACGGGACCAGCACCTGTACCGCCACCTCCGAAAGCAGAATCCACAGAATTTTCGCGAGAATGGTTTATGGATTTCGACCCTGTCGACGGCGGGTTAAAAAATGAATCTGGGAGCTTTCGCATACTCCATGGCACTTGTAAAGGTCTTTTAGAGTCTGGTTTCAAAACACTGTCGAAGAGCGCCTGTAGGTCCGTTTCCGAGTCCTGATCCACCCTTACTACTTGTTTGGCATCGTCTTGATTTAGTGCCATTTCAATCGAGGGCACTCCACCACTGGGCACAGTGTCGCTGAAATAACGCACCCAGCTTGCACTGTCACTACCAAACACCTCCACCAAAAAAAATACAACACACTAATAACTAAATGAGTGACGTTAACACGCGACAGCGACTAGGTTGGGACTGACTGCGGTGCCTGGTCTGGCCTGGCCCTGTTGCGTTGTCCGTAGGCCGACCCCCAATACCACTCGGCAAATACATGGTAACATTGGTAACACACAATACTCCCTTCAGTCTATTCGCGCCACACTGATTCCACAGAATCGATGCCAATTCGTTTTTTCGGCATTTATTTTCGTTTTTAAATCAGTATTCAGTTCTATCCACCCATAATATCATATCAGTGCTTCTCATTCTTGGTGCTGTGTGGTAATGGCGATAATCATACTCACTTTCATCAGTGTTTATGTGACCAACTATGCACGTCTCATTGATGAAATTATTTCATCCATCACGTCTCATTCACAGAAATATATTTTCATGATGTATCTTTCATGTTTTCAAAAAACTCTCAGATTGAAGATTCCATGGACGTATTTTATACGTCCATGGAAGATTCAGATTTTCATATATCTGAGGTTGAACTGGATGTGGACTGGATTAGTACCGTACTACCGTACCACCTTATTTTTTGTGTTATCTCACTGTGCTCCGTCCTGTACTACCTTGTGTCATTTGTACTGATTATGACCCAACCCAAATAATTCATTACGCTAGGTCGCACAAAAACCAATCAAAATGGTAATTTTTTCATTCCCATTATGAGAGGATTCAAAACTGAAATAGCCACCTGAAGGCCACCTGGGTTAGCACAGCACAGCTAGTGATAGCCACTGTGCAGTGTGCAGTGCAGCCACTAGCCACTCCTACATCTTTATCTTCATAGAGATCGAAAGCAGTTGGATTCATAACGTACAGATGGCGATACTGTACATTTTATTTTATCGGTATTTCACCTGCAAGAATAAAAGAATCGAAATGGAAAATGATATTGGAACCTCAGATTCAACATGATTTTTTGCTCATAGTCCAGTTCCAGCAATCACGCATAACTTGTTTATGTGGTGGTGATATGGTTTCCATCTACCAAGGACATGTTCAACCATTTTTTCATCGATTCTCGGAATCCTGCTTCCACGTGTGTTAAAAGTGCTACGTGTCAGTGACATTACTGACGTTTTACCAAACGAAGATCCAATCTCTGGCAACGTCTACCGTTACCGTCACACGTCACACTTTTTTCATTAGCAATTTGCACATTTGTCACAGTTGTTGAGTTGTTCACAGTTGAAATTGGTTGTCGTGTCAGATTTGTGTAGCAACTCTATAGGTAGTGAAAAGTTATTACTGAAAACATGTCCAAATCACAAAATAAAGGTTTTACCAAGGAAGAAGAGTTGCTGCTGCAAGATTTCAGCCGAAATGTGTCTACCAAGTCGTCTGCATTATTCTATGGTAATGCCCTAATTGTTTCGGTAGTACCAATATGGTTATTCTGGAGGATACATATGATTGATATTTACTCTTCCTTGATCTTGTTCGCTGTTGTGACTGCTGTATCTACCTATTTATTAGCTATGGCTTACAAAAACACTAAATTCACACTGAAACACAAGATTGCTGTCAAAAGAGAGGAAGCTGTTACCAGAGACTTATCCAAGAAGCTTGCTGATGATAAGAAAATGAGCAAAAAAGAAAAAGACGAGAGAATTTTGTGGAAGAAGAATGAAGTTGCTGATTTTGAAGCTACAACGTTCTCAATTTTCTACAATAATGCATTGTTCTTGGCAATTGTGATACTTGCCAGTTTTTATTTGTTACAATCCTTCACTCCAGCAGTGAATTACACATTTTCTATTGGTACAACTGCTGGATTATTAGCTCTTCTGTCTACTGGTTCTCAGTAATTATTATTAGTAAATATATGAAGAATAACATACCAACCTATTCACTTCATTTTGTTAATTTAACATTCATTTTGATAAATATTTTTCCATATTTTATGTGTTTCATTTTATTTATATTTTACTGCAAGAACAGAGTACCCCTGTACACTGAACTTGGTGTAAGGTGTGCCAACTATCCATGCTAAATTGAATTATAAACATCCAACATTTTTCTTTTTCTTTATGGGAGTAATAATTAAAGTGAAATTTTATTGAACAAATGTTATTTCCATGGCAGGTATGAAATGAAAAATATAGATTGTAACAGTATATTCACTTTTTATTGCTGTAACAATATTCAATTCAAGAAATATTCACAATTCAAGTCTTTAGAGTATCACTAATACAAAATTGAAAGGTTAATATAAAATAAATAAATCATCTGTAATATAAACTTCATTCTATCTCATCTTCATGATCCATTCTATATGGCCCAGGACAATTTTCTTTCAAATCCTCTATATCTATACCAGTAATAACACAGTAAAGGCAATATAAATGGTTATTTCTGAGATAGTCAATTATTGCACAGAGGTTTTCTTCATTGATATTCATTTCAAATTCTTCATCTTCATCACTACTGTCAGTATCTGTAACATCCTGGCGTTCCATTTTTCTTCGTTTTTTAATTGTGTCTTTGGTCCAGAAGAAATCCTCAACAGGATCAACAACTTTCTGGAAAAAAAAAACACAGGAATGCATATTGAGAGTTTAAAATCAAGTGTTTTATTATTAAAACCATAATCCCATAGAAATGTGAATAGAAGGTGAACTTACAGTTCTAAAATCCAATTCCTCACATATTTTTTGGGCCTTGAAGAAATCTCTCCTCATTTGGGATAAGCTCTTCCTCTCTTTATTTGCTAAAATATATTGGTTTTCATTCTGTTTCAGAATCTTGATTTTCTGTTGTTGGTTTCTAGTTTTAACTTCTTTTAAATGAGATTCTCTACCAATCCCTGAGGTGCCTTGCCTCAAGACAATATCAATTGGTTCCTTTATACCACTCCTGGATTTTCCCAGGCTTTCTCCAGGCTTGAAACCCATTTTTTCCAATAGTCTGAAACCTTTGTTCTCATTTGGAATTGCTGTACTTAAACCTCTTTCTCTGGTCTCTTTTTCAAGTTCTCTAGTTGTTTTTGCTCGTTTATATGTAGTGTCCTGCTGTTTTTTATACATATCCATCTTACGTTTTTCTCTGTTGAATAGTAAACTTGGGCGTATATCATCCTTACTAGAAAAAGAATTGCGTCCAATATACTGAAAATATTTCAATAATTTTTGTTACCTATCAACCATAACTTTGAAAGACATATAATCATCTTCTGAGTCAGACATGATTTGATAGTACTACCAGATGCTGAAAAATGTTATACCAGTTGTTGTGTTATATACTATAAAATATTTGTTAACAATTTTGTTTTCCTATTCAGTATTTCATTTCCTCTTCTGTATTTCTTAATTTCTAATGATAATGAGACACTTTGACATTCGACAATACAAATATTACAAATTCAATAGACTGTTATGAGTGTTATGGTGTTATGTTAGAAGCTTTACCACCTTTACATTGATTACTGTCACCATAGACATAGGTTTGTCTATGACTGTCACTGTGACAGAATTGGTACAGGTTTCTTTTGAGAGACCACTGAGCCACAGCGTGTAGCACTGAGTTACTCCGAGCAGATCTTAAACTGATCAACAGCCAAAGAGGAGATGCTACCTACCCCCTTCCCCTCCAGCACCCGTCAGGTATATTGCAAAGCAAAGAAGTTCGTCAGACGCGTCAGATGTATCTTTTTTGTCTTTTGAAATGATTTTTTTTTGGAGTTCAGTATAGAATATATTTGGACCAGGAGGATCAGCGATGGTCTACCCTAAAGCTTTAAGCACACCAACAACAGTATCTTCATTTTTTATTCTAATTCTACTTCTTTCTATCGTAATATCCACTTCAGACTCATCATCAGAATTTCCACTACATACTCTATAGTGTTTCAATTTGCTTCACCATCATTTCCTGTGAGTTATTAAGTATAAAATGTGTGAGATGAGACATTACTCAATTTTTTCCACCATGAAAATACTACAATCAAAAATTCGAATTATTCAAATTTTGAACCAAATCCGTCAATAAAATGTCACTAAAAATACTCGGATAAAATTAACAACATCCTGGTTCAGTTCAAGCGTAGGTTAGTACCGGTTCATTTCAGAGGTAACAAATTTTCAATTGGAAAGCAGCTTGTGACTAGAGTGACTTTATAAAGAAGGGACGTTCTTTTATTCACCGGTGGCTCCATCAATCCACCAACTGCATTCAATTTATTTGGTGGATTCCAGTTTGATGTAACCACGCGTTCATTTATTACTATTGTGTCAACCAAAACCAAAATTGCAAACCATTTGAACCATTCCACCCCGATGTAGTCGATGTACAGAGATGGTAGTTGCGTTTTATTTGTTCCATTCTGGTAGCGGTGGTGGGAACAGAATGACGTTTACAAATAAAACGAGAAACTTCATAACCTTGCTTGAGAGAATTTACATAGATCCAAATAATTTCAAATTCATAATACTAGAGATAAGAATCTAGAAAATGAATCAACTAATATTTGGAGCAGTGATTGTGGTGATTGAAGAAACTTCTCTGAGAATTTATTTTATTTGGGAATAAACATTTGAAACCTGTCTTACTTGAAAGAATCATGAACTAGTGATCTCACGCTGAAAATGTCTTTTACTTTCAAAAAGGTTCAATTTTCGTCAATATAATTTGATTTTTTGACACCTGTCAACAGTCATTCCTTGTTGTAAGACGGAATGGAAAGTAGCAACCTGAATCGGAAAAGTTGCAAATAAAACGACACATTAAACCACAGTATCAAACTGATTCCGATGGCGGAATCGGATAAATAAAACGCAACTACCTGGCATTCGAAATGACAGCGACAGCATAACCTCAAAAAATTAAAAACTTGACATTTGAAGCTGTTTGCCTAAGAAGAAATATGGATGAATTAATCGAAATCAGCCTAGAATATAAAAATAGCAGAATAACTGCATTTCCATCATCAATTTCAAGATATAAGTGCAAATATTCAGGGACCTTGAGTACCAATAGAGAATTCTTATTAATGACTCTATCTATATATATTATCATAATTTCATGCAATGTTTTGTATAGGTTGTTGAGAATTTTCAACAAATCTCGTCTACTCCCGAACATAAACAATATTTCATCCTCGGAACTATCAGAACTGCTAGAACTTTTTGATCTGGAGACAAGGACACTTTTAATACATAATTTTCCAGCACTTTCTGAGCTTCTAATTGGAAATAAAATAAATCCCCATCAAATCACGAAAAGAAAAATAAAGGAAAAAACAGTTGTGATTGTCATGTCAAATAACTGCGTTTTTTTTTTTCAACAATGATGACTCCAATTCGATGCGTCAGAGAGTGACGTCACTCCCATCAATGATGAAAATGTGGTTTAAAAAGGAACATGCCTATCTGCTATAGAGTGAGGATAATAGCTGTACACTTTTGGATTGATCATAAATGCGTTTTCTCGTACACTTTATTCATGTTACTGATGGCATTCCATAACCACTGATTTCAATTCATCAATTCAGAAGAGAACGCCCCTCTATGAGCTTTCAAATAAACCAGAAATAATAATAATTATTATAATTCTTCTTGATTACCTGCTCATTAATAGCCATATGAACGAAAAAGTGATAAGGGTATAGGGTGATATGTGCTACTAAAATAATATGAATAAGAATAAAATACAAATGAACTAAACAAAATTTATTTGATCTTTTTTTTTGTAAATACTAATACTGTTTTAAAGTACAAAAATTGAGGATTGAGGAATAGATGTTTCTTCAGAACATGAAACCAGTACGAGCATGAAATATAATAATTAGATATATATAAGTAAATAAAATCACATTTTTTTAATAACACATTGAAAATGTTATCGTAATTACTAAATAAATATCAGTTCTGTTACTATAAAAGTATTTTTTCAATTTTTTTTTCTTTCGAGTCCCCACTTACATAGTATTTTGTGGTAGACTCACGTTGAAATGCAGAGTGATATGTGATGGGCGGGGAAAAGGACATGGGACAAGAAAATACGACCTGAAGAGCTATAACAAATGTTTATTTAAAATGAAATGACATGGGCTACAACTATAACGATGAACCTCACACTCAGATTAACACACACACTCGACTGAGATCTGAATGTAGAATAATGCACAAAACCCTCGGCCTATCTAACATTCAAAGTTTAGAGAAAAATACTTATGACAAAAAAATATCACCATTTACCCTGTGCAAGTCTCTGTTGTCGAAATGCAAGTGACCAACTGTACTCAAGCGGACAGACTTGCTAGGTACTAGCTGAACATATGGTACAGGTACACAACATGAAAACACAGTGACGGAAACCAATCAGAACCCTCCCAAATAGGGAGGGTAGCCGGGAGGGTGGGTAGGAGTGGGTTGGGGGTAACTGTAGTACGGATAGTTTGGACTAGGGACGTGTAAGCCGGGCCCATAGCTCTGGGCGTACGGCGGTATCTGCGGGTAGCCGAGCGGCATCGGCTCGTATGGCCCACTCCAGGTGGGAGTGGGGTAAATCGGGTAGCTCGAACTCGGCGGGTAATTGTACGGCACCGGACTGGCTCTAGACGAAGACGAGCTGTAGTTGTTGAATTGGCCATACTGGTCGGGCGCCTCGTTCAACGGAGGCGGCGCTTCTCCCTCGGTTATGCTGGGAATTTGATCGACTAGAGATTCCAGGCCGGACAGGCTTTTGGAAGCGATATCCTGCGACTGTCGCGGCGACTGGTACTGTGACTGCGGTTCCGGCTGCGGGTGAGGCGGGTCCATGTTGTAGGACTGATAGTGATAGTGCGCCTGCTCGCTGTTGGTGGAAGGGGCGGGGCTCAGCCGGCACTCCGCTTCATCGGCCATGCTAGTGGGGGGCTCGAAGTCCGGGGGGCCGATGGGCGAGGCGGGAGAGCCCAACTGCTCCGAGCTGATGGCCGCGCTGATTTCCGAGCTGAGGTCGGAATGAGTGAAGGGTTGGGAGTGTGGCCTCGGAGACTGGCTGTATTGGGGCCTCGGCGACTGGCTGTATTGGGGCCTCGGGGATTGACTGTACTGGGGCCGGGGCGAATTGCTGTAAGTCGGCCGAGGAGACTGACTGTACGGGGGTCTGGGGGACTGACTGTACGGCTGGGGGGCGTACAGATTGCTGGAGTTGTTCGGGGGCGTCATCGATGCTGGGCCCATCGGATAGAAGTTGTTGGGAGACTGAATGGGCGACGGATTCGAGTAGCACTGAGACATGTTGGTCGATGTATTATCTGGCTGGTTCATATCCATGTTCTCAACTTTCACTTTCTTAGGCCGGCCTCGTTTCTTCTTCGGGAAATCACAGTTATTGTTCTGAGACGCTGGAGGTTTTCGAACAACTGGTTTTGGGGGTGGCTCTTCGCCTTCGACTTTAATTTTCTTTGGTCTGCCTCTTTTCTTTTTGCATGGTATTATGGTACCATCTTCGTTTTGGATCACAGCGTTACTGATGTCGGTGAGTTCTGGAGAAAACGGCTCGGGTTTCGGTTCCGCCTCATAGCAGGACTTCAGACTAGGCTCACTGAATACCATTTCGTTTTCATCGATTTCGGTTATTAAACCATTCAGATAATCACGAAATTTTTTCAGTGCTGCATAGAAGGGAACCTTGTCGGCAGCTCGTGGTAACTGCGCACATCTAGCACTGGATGATGGCATCACCCACATATGCTGGAATTAAAATCATCTTCTCAAAATGAAGAACAGGGAATTATAAATATTTCTTGTTAGTTGATTTTTGAATGCAAGAAATTTTGTCAACAATATCCTGTCCTTTAAAATATAATTAATGTAAACAAAAAGATTGTTTTATATATTCCATACTTTTTGTTATTCTGGCACAGTAAGTTGTGTTCGAATTTTTTTACTTGTGGTGTAAAATTAAATTTTTCATTGCCGACTTGTGGAACATTTTTGAAAACGTTTTTCTGTTAGTGTTTTTCCTATGTTCCTATAATTTAGTTTTTTTTTTCAATTTGTGGGAAATCTTATAGAAAAACATGTATTTGATTTTTTATTTCCGATGTAAGTGTTTATTTTTCGCATAATATTAGATTTAGATTAGATTTGCTTCATATTATTAAGGCATAATTCAGATGAATGGAGCAGGATTCCAGAATATCCGAGGGGAATTTTAGATAGGAATTTTGGTGTATAAGTGATAATGAATCATTGGGCATCATTGGGAATTGCTGCAATTTGATCTTCAGTAATTAATGAGAGGAGAATTGTCAGAACTTAAGGGAAATTGTGGGAATTCAAGGGGAATTGTGAGTGTTTAAAAGGAAATATGGACTTTTGATTGGGAAATTAATGGGAATTGGTGTACATATATCCACATTGGTGAAATGTTCCCCAAGAATATCTAAATGGAGACTATCAAACAATTAGGAAAGTTGAGAAGTATTCAAAATATCTGAGGAAACATGAGAAGAAACTAATTCATTTTTGGAAGTTACTATCAATGAAAATATTCATTATATCTATGAACTAACAAGATAAATCGAAAAAAAAGAATCTAGTAACTTTTTTGTTTTGAAGACTCACCGTATTTGTACCTTCTATAACATCTGGTTGCCTTCCAAACTTGAAATCCTTTTTCCCAGAAAACACTTCATAAATGAGTTTTCCATTAAATACGGCTATCTTAGGTCTATATTTCCTTAATTTCTCTAACAGAATTTGAGAACCCTCTTTAATTTCTTTACGTGTCAAATCAGCACTGCCTTTCGTCGCACGCTCCACCATATTAGTAAAACCTATGCCTACTTGAAGTAACTTATAGTCTTCGTCAGCTGACATTTGTTGTGGAGTCAGGCCGGACAAGTATAGACACTTCCAAAAATGGTTGCCGGGCCCTGCATAGTGATGACCCTTATAGGCCGCGAAAAGACCAGGGTTTATCCCGATCTGAAATGGACAAATTATTTTTTGTTGTTCTTTGATAGTTCTTCCTCAGGACATTATCTTACTATTACTATATCTAAGTTTTCGGTGAGATGATCCGGTAGTGTTCGTTTGGAGACTTCTTCTTCTGGCATTCCGTTGAAACGATCATGTTTTTTTCGTTCTTTGATAGGCCGTGGCATACCTCCGTTCATATCTTGAGTAAATTCGGGCCTATAAAAAAGTGATAACTATTTTTGGAATGTTTCAAGATCAGTCTTCTTCTGAAAATATGTAGCACATGGACATTTCCTTTGAATGAGACCAAAGCAACCAAATGCTAGAACATTTTATACAGGGTGTGACCGAAAATGTGAGCAATCACCTGTATGTGAATAGAATTTGAGGAAATAATGGTACTTCTTCATTGAAAAAAAAAACGGATTCTGAATATGCACCTATGAAACCTTTGATTTCAAATGTTCAATCTTGTTTTGCAGCTTGATGAAATTTCATATGCATATTATCCTATTTTTTGTATATATAGTATACTGTCTTGTAAAAAACGCCGCAACCTGAACTCCTCCATTTTTTATTCAACCCCACGAAATTTAGAGAAAAATATTGAATTGAAATACACTACAAAATAGATTATTTTCAAAATCAACCAAATGAGCATCATGGGGCAATTATTGACTTCAAATTTTTGTACATAAGACGATATATTTTTCTCACGTTGAATTCAACTTTTTCAATGAATTCGACAACTACACGAGAATGTACAGGAACATCACTATATTTAAGTTATTTTTTATCGAGAAAAAAAAAACGATTTGCAGAAGCAGTTGAATGCTGCAATGATACATTTCCACAGCCCTTATCAGAAGTTTTAAAGGGTACTTAATCCCTAAAAGCGTGAAAAACCAAAAATTTTTTTTTAATATAACACCCTGTTTTTATATTTTCTGTTGTTTTTTGTGATTACAAATATATAAAAAAAACGGGTATATCCTGTTAACCATGAATGAGGATATATTTGACAGTTGTATATTGCATCACTATCCAATACATTCCCAAGGTGATTGAGTGATCACCAATTAATAGGACAAAAATTGTTCTTCTGAGGTCTAAAGAGTAGTGATAAAGAAGGGAAAATAAAAGATATCATACTGTATAAATATATTTGTAATCACAAAAAATCACAGATTCTGAAAAACATATAAAGAACAAGGTATTCTATTGAAAAAAAAATGATTTGTGTTTTGTCATGCTTTTATGGATTACCCAACTTCTGATTTGGACTGTGGAAAGCTCATTGCTGCATTCAACTTCCACATGTTTTTTTTCCCAACAAAAAATAACGTGAATATAGGGTTGGGATTTTTCAATGGATAATCCTGTACATATAGGTTGATATTTCATTATTTTTTGTATTGATAAAGTGTAAAACAAGGACTCCATTAAAATTAATAACTTTTGTCAAAGCTATGAAAGTTACTCATGAAAAATAAAGGAGTCAGTTATTAGCTTTCCTCCTTTTTTCTATCCTCAATTTTGTTACTTTTTTTTCAAAACTGGATGAAACCTGGCCTGGTCACATGATGTGGCTGTTTTCACAATAAATCTTGTATACCGGGTGTCCCATGACGATTTAGTCACATGGTATCACTTAAACCATAATAAAATTTGGGAAACAAGGACAAATGGCAATAATGCTACCTTTACTTGTATTCACAGACAGTATTCGAATATTCACGTTGAACTTCCGAGTCTGTATGTTCTGGTCATGTAACATCAAACATTGAATTTTATATGGAACATCCCATATTTTGATACATATTTAGAAAGCCATTACTAGCATTAAATATTATAATACTGATATTTTCTGCAAAAAAAGCTGTTTTCAATTTGAAGAACAACAACAGAATTTATGAAGACAACTCAAACTATTTGTAGCTACCTTGGACACAATTCACCTAACATAGGAGTTCTAGCTTCTTCATGATCATATGAATGCCACAGCAAAAAACCTTCTATTATTATAACTTGTGATTGTGAGATCTAGAGAAAGTATGTTTGAATAAGTTGTAAGATTTCTTGATGAAACATTGACAAATGAAATATTTTGTAATGTTGACATTTCACAAAACTCACATATACAAGATTCACACCAAGGGATAAGGTCACTTCTCTAAAAAATTTTCAAAAAGATTACATTTGGCAATATTGGACAAGATCAGACAAGAGTGGACCTAGTGTGATAAAATGTGACAATGATGGACACAAAGTGGACATAGAGGTGGACATAGATCCATTGAAATATGTCAAGAAACATTAGGATTGGACTCAGAATAGATGGAATGGACCAAGATTGGTCTTATTTTACTGGAATTGGCCAAAACTGACCAACATTGGTCGTATTCTCATTTGTATTCGACTAGGATTGATCATACTTGTTTAAGATTAGTCAAATTACCGCTATTGGGAAGGAATTGGAAAAACTGCAAATAGGATGGAATGCTGGTGTACAAATATTGGACCTAGTGGATGACCCCATGGTTCACACCATCAGAATTGAACTCAGTTGTTTTATTTGATTGCAGAAAATAGCTATGTAATTTGAATAGTCCATCAATAACTCAAGTAACTGACAGAATCATCATTTTCCTCAAGAATGCCTATTACAATGAACAATATTTTGAGAAGTAGATACCTGATCAAATCAGTTATCTGAATATTTGTATTATATTATATAGCATATTAATACACTATTTTCAAAGGTCTATTTGCACCACATCAAACCTAGTACTATTTGTATCTTCTAGCAGAAGTATGCATCATCACCAATATTACATTTGTTATTCATTTGAACTGATAATATATCCCCAGATATATCCAGTATAGTAAGGGGGAAAAGAACTATCATGGAAGTAATATATCTGTACCTACACATTTCCTGTGATAAGATGGATCCTACTTCATTTTGTAGTGCCATTTCAAGCTAATTCAAATAAGACATAATGATTATGTATTTTTGGACATCAAACATTGTTATATGAATTTGATCAAATCAGAATAATCCATATAGAAGAAATTGGCACTCAACTCTAGACCTAACCTAATTATTCATGTATATCATTTTTCAATCAACACTATTATCCCTTGCTATATCCAAACCATTGATTCGAGCTTCAAACTCAAAACAAGCTGAAACTATGAATTGGAATCTAAAAACAGCTAATACTATGAATTGAAATTGAAGCTGAAACCATTAGACCTACTTTTGTTTCATTCTTGCTGTACACCTACCTAGGTAGGTATGTGGGTATATGTAAATAGGTAGGTAAATCATGAGAAAGAAGGAACAATGTACAATGTTACTACCATTGATAGTTCATTTTTGTTATTTGAATAAGTCTAGATATTATTATGAATCAAGATAAATATAAAAACTTCACACAGTACAATTTATATTGATGTTCCTGTGATGTTAAAACCATGTTATCAAAATACATATGATAAAAATCTTTAGTGGTTACTCACTGTTCTGGTTTGATTTTCTTTTTTCTTCCCCTTTTTTTAGGACCAGGTAGTAGTTGATTGCTGACTGGTGGCATTGGATGCATGAGGTGAGGGGGCCCTGGAGCCGACGGAAGCATAGGAATGGGGTCATCATCAATGAAACTGTAGGGGTCTTCCAATTTTTCACACTTTACTTCATGGTTATGTGTAACACTGGCAGTGTTCAAGAGCATATCAGCACTAGTTTCATAACCATCATCATGGGGCTCAAGTTTCATGTTTCTGAAGAAAATATTCCTAAGTGATGTTCTAGCCTGGTTTAGAAACTAAACACTTGAACCTACACACTTTTGAGGGCGTGTGTCAAACTGATTGTGAAAACACATGCAGGATGGATTCAAGGCCTGAAGGGATGTACTATTATGTGCTTTTTTTTAGGAATTAGGCAATATGTAAACAATGAAGGCAAACTGGTGTTGTGTAAACACATTACACAGTGGTCTTCAAACTGTTAGCTTTCAACTATGAAGTAGAATCAAAATAGTTACAAGGCTACCAGAATATATCGAGCGTAAATAAATCGTTAGGTACTGGTATATTAATGCCAATTTGAAAATGAAAATTTTGTGTCATCCTTCTAGCAGTTCTAGATTAGTGATGTTTATTGTTTATGTTGAAACTTGAAACTGATAAGAAAGGTAAATAGTAAATACCCATTTCGAAATAGGTAGGTATAGGAACGGCTCGGTCGAAGATTAGACAGATCAGGTGTAAGGAAAAATCATTGGGGATAATAAGTAAATAAATGTTTACATGTGGCGCGTGCGGGAAATAAGCCAAGCGTACAGGGTCGCGGAGAACTACTTACAGCTTGTACTTATTTGAGAAGGTCACCGGGTGGTTGTAGGACTCGTAGGACAATGGTCCAGGGCCGAGGCTGGAGACACCTGACTCCTGGCCACCTCCGCTTCCGCCCGATTCCATTGTCGCTCCCAGTAACGTGGAGGACTCGCGGAAAAGAGTTGCCACCTGCATCGGATATTTACCGAGCTTTCGCTCGTAACCAGTTTGAAAACTACACACACATTACGCTGGACTTCGCACTAGCTTGCTAAAAACCTAACAACAACCTCACCCTTTAAAAATAGTCCTATCTCTCTGATTGGTTCAACGAACGTTTTGAAAAATCAATAGGATGTTATCGGCCTGTATTTTTGTGGAACTTTGCTCCGGAGCTCATTGTCGATGTCTCCGCCAGCGTCGCTTACTTCGACGCTCGACGTCTCTTTTTAAACAGCGCATTCTATCAAAAAAGTTACCCAACCAAAAAAAATTGAAAAAAAAATGACAGGAACAACAACTTCCGTATAGGTAGCTTCCTTCATATGTCAAAAGTTTCAGATTGTTATCAACAGAGGTCGCGCCAACATTTCAGAAAACTACAGAGTAAAATTTTGGAACATCAATTACCTACCAGGGGCGTCTTCATCATAAATTGTGAGGGGGTTTTCTAAGGTCCTCTCTCAAATTCTGACATATCACATCACCAGTTGCCAGTTATAGTCACTGATATAATTTGAGTCAGTTAAAAAAATGTTACCGCGATAGAACTAATACAAATATATTTTTCAGGGTCTTCGGAATTGCGAGCAAATATTTCGGGGGGGGGGGGATTATAGGAATACTTCAATAAAGTAATGACATTTTGAACACACTCAAAACACGATATTGTAAATTTTCATTCAGAGTTGTGTTATTACACAGGGACAGGATCGGACGCCTTACAAATTATTGACTGTCAATTTTGGGACACCTTTTTGTGAGTATTGATGACACAAAGTTCATTATTCATGTTTTCTGAGTTTTTTTCCATCAATATTGAAAATGGATTTGCAGAACTCATGTAGGAAATGACGATTAATATTTATCTCAGAAAATTATCATATTTGCAAATAGATCAATCTATGGAATGGAATGACAGACACTGAATTTGAACACCACTTTTATAGGTTATATTCAGACTGCAGATATACAGAAAAGAAAAACTCCCCGGATTCTGGAGAGGTTAGTGGATGTGGATGGACTGGAAGAAAATATAAGGTCATGGAATATTTTAATCCTCTTATATTATGTACAAAAAATATTTCTTTCAAAGTTTATAAAACCTCAAAATGCACAAGGCAAAACCAACTTTTTAGGCAACATAAATAACTTATCAATAAACTATCATTAGCTCAAACACAGGTAATTTACTTGTAATAAAAAATTAAATAAAATTTGTCAATCACAACTGAAACAAACTAAAATCACAAACATAAGAAATATATTCATATCTGGATATAATAGGTATAGGTACACATGTTTTCATGTTATTTGACATACAGTACAAAAATACATTAATTTTCATAATTGAGGAAGAATATACATACATATATTTTATGGATTTAGTTCAATATATATTAGATGAAGATTTTATAAAATAAATCTAGGCCACTGAAATGTTTTAATGAAAAATATTACTCAAAACGTGAATTGATATCATGCATGGTTTATTTTTTGTTCTCCGATTCCACATCTATGTCTATAATGGTTATGTAGAATCCATGAAATCAAAGGGAAGTGATCTAGATATATTTTGAGCCATACTCGAAATTCAATAATGTACTGAAATCGTTGAAAAAAATCTCGGTTTGGCCACTTAATGGATATATATATATAGCTATGACAATATTGACAATCCATATTTAGTACATTGCAGAATGCAGACATTAATAAATTGCGACTGAGACTACACCTGATACAGTATGATGCAGTCATATAAATCTGGTCCTGCATTTTGATTTGTCATTTGCCATGTTATTTGAGATGACAAAAAAAAATTCATGAGGTGAGATATATATCTATATATATGTATATATACAAAGCAATTTGGTACCTAGATTTTGAAATATAAACAATTGACCATTGTTTCCCAAGCACAGCAAACTTCAATTCAATGATGGAACTTCAATTGCCCCATAGAGATAATAGAAAAATACATAAAATAAGTAATTTTCAATACGCCACCCACACAAATGTGAAACATTCAAGGATATTTAATGATGGATTTTGAAAAGAGTGAAAAACAGTAATATGTTTTATGGACATTCAATACACATTTTTCGAGAATCACCAATATCCCTAAATTTTTTTCTTGAGTGTATAATTTTCACACAATCATATCTTTCAACCTTATTGAATATTGAAAATAAATTTTTGTAATTTCCCGATATGCTGTTAACATTTTGGATATCCATGATGGTCATACCAACGCTAGTTTAAATCATGAGATTCATATTGGCATGTGATATAGCATGTTGACAATAGGGTCAATATATGGAAAACACAATTATTTCACTTGAATTGCTATTCAGATTTCCCCAACGATTTTAAGTTATATGTAGTTATACATAGTATACCAATATGTTTTTATAGAAATCGGGTTGAACTTATTCTTGATCTTCAGAATATAAAATTCAATATGTTGAACAGTGAAATACGAAATTTTAAAAAGCCTTGTGAGTAAATATTTCTTTACAAGATGGCAAGTAGGCAAGTTCTTTAGCATATAACAATGGTTGATTCAGGTCTAGTGCAAAATACTCGGATTTTACAATGTGTTATATATATGCCATCTGTCACATATTATATAATCATATCATCAAGTCATACAGATTATGCATTAGAATTATCTACCTATACATTCTTTGTAAATACAGTATGAATAAACAATTACAATTTCAATTCATTTCTCATGTTGGATCATGTTGAAAATTAGTTTATTTCAAGATTGATGGTCTGTCTAAAGAGTTTACCTAAATGAAACATGAAACTTGAAACTCCGATAATTGGTTCAAAATGTTTTGAAAGGAAACACTCATAAAATTGTATGGTATACTTTTATAGTTTCATCAGATAGTCCCGACCTGCGCAGTAATAGGTTTGTTCTCGTTCGAAAAATAAAAAATAGTCTGAAATCATCGAAAGCATGCCAACAGTTATGTGAAACTGATGGTTTTGGTCTGTTTCTATTTGGAAGCAGAGCAAACCTATTGTAATAATTTATCTTTCAATAATTATAGCTGTCTGTGCCAGAAGAAGCCCACTAGATGATCAAACCTCCTTACAGATATGTCAATATTCTGAATAAAATAAAATTTGAATCATTTGAATTGATATTGCTATCCATGCTTAGTTTCAACTTCAAAAACTATATCACATGCACATCATATAACACAATGGATCCTTCCGCACCAATCTTTTGAACAGCAAGTATTGGCCTCAGTCTCCATTGACGAAATAATGCTTTGCATATATGAGAATACAAAAAACGGTACACAAAAATGACTTGTACCTTTGTCTTAATCTGGATTCTTGTACACCCAGTAGCTATATAATAAAGATCAGATATCTGGGGGCGGTTTGCCGTTTCCACTGCATTGGACATTTGGAGAGGAACTCCTGTCTCGGCTGTCTTGGTCTTCTAGGAACCTGTCCATGAAATCTGTGAGCCCAGGATGCAAAGCATACTTCTTCTTCTCAAGCCTTGCTTTGTTGGCAAATATGTCATGTCTCTCGGATTTTTTCCAGAGGTAGTAGAACTGGACTAGTTCACCCACAGACCTGGTCCGTACCTGAGATCATTATCAAACATAAACTTGCTACAATTTGAACGAAAAAGCGTCTGGAGAAGAAGTTTGAGATGCATTTTCGTCAAAACTACTTGTTGGATTTGGAAATTCTCTGTTTTGAATGACATGTTATCTCCTTCTAAACATTGGCATGCAAATTGTATTCACATGAAAAGCCCTTTTTTATTAATACCGGGTGTAGCGTGTTTTTTATGAAATTTGAAATACCCTGTAGTAACAGTTACATTATCAAGCTAGAATCATATACGTATTAATAAACAATACGGATCATAACGGGTGCCAGGATGAAGCCAAAAATATGAAACAAATGAATATCCATAAGGATTTGGTGGCATGATACACATGCTTGATACGCAAAAGCTTGATTTGGTCGCCATTTTGAATTTACACTCCCAGTGATCCCCCCGTGACACCTATGAAAAAAAAACCACTGAAAAATTATTCACGGGTCAAAGTCTATAATGACTGGACTAGGATGGAAAGCCCTAATATGGCGTGACAATGAAAGATGAAAAAACTCCACCGCCCCGGACATTTCCATATACAAGGAAAGACATAAATAAAACCACATAAATAGTGTAAGGATTTTTTTGATGTAAAATAATGCTAGGATCAACGTCGCCCAAGTTGTGAGAAATTAGGTAGGGGAAGTCGGTATCACTACCATGGCATGGCCAGGTCGGAGCCCGGATTCACATCCCATTGAGGATCTCTGGGACATTCATGGGAACAAGAGGAACATAACTTGAATACCTTGGAAGACGCACGGCAGACTGACTGGACCAAAATGACATGAGGTCTCTTGTTTCAAGTATAAAGACAATATTCTTACCCATGGCGGAAATACTTGCTACTGACCCTTTTACTCAACTTGTGACTCCACATTCTATTTCGTTTTTTCGTTATTGTTAAATTTGGATATTAATTAAACATAAAATCATGTTACCCTATAAAATGGTGTTGGAGTGGATCCAAAAAAGAAATGTTAAAGAAAGATAAGGCTAAAGTGTAATTTGAATTCTAATCTTCATATGGTAACTATTACAATCTACAGGGTATTACAAATTTCATGAAATGAACACGCTATAATTGCTCCATCCAGTATGTATAAAAAAGAGGTTTTAATGTGAAAACAGTTTACACAGAAATGTTCAGAAGGAGATCACCTGTCATTCAAAACGAAAATCGTCCAAATCGGACAAGTAGTTTTGACGAAAATGGATGTCAAACTTTTGGCTACTTTTGAGGTGTATTTATAAAACAAGAGCAGAAGTTTGTTGAATATAGGTATGTGAAGCTTTCAGTGAAAATTTCTGAATTTCAAAATTAAGTGTGAAAAAACAGCATAAATGGAAGTACCATTTGTGACGATTGTCAGCTAGTCAAGTGCGACTGATGAGGCTTTGCAGGCAGAAACAGTCTGTCTTGAATCAGATGACAATCTACTCACAAAAATCCACCAGAACCTTTTAGTCTCAAGATTATCACAGAAAATTCCATTTTCAGCTAAATAAATATTTCATTTGAAAGTTTCAATCTTCACAACCCTTTATCTGCTGTCATAGGCTACTTATTTGCTGTGTGCTAAAATAGGAATATTTCCATCTATTCTGAACCCAAAATAATCGTAATTGTATTTAGTCAATAGCCTTATATTCACAGAGGTTGAATCACTTTTTCCCAAATTCTAATTAAAAAGCTCTGTCTCATCAATATGGTGCCTCAATTTACTTTTGTGTATAGGAACAAAACAATATAACCCCAATTGAAGTTCAGTCAAATTTCAATTCTTGTACATTTTGCAGGCTACAGGTGGAAAGTATTGAAATATTCTGCAATTTTCAGATTAATTTCAAGTTTCCAACTTTACATCAACCATATGAACTTACAACAGTTTTCAATGTAGTATACAATAAAGTATTTATCAAAAAAATTGTGGAAAACTCCACATTTCTTGTTGGTACACCAAACCAATCTAATTCAAGCTATCAGCCCCTGACTAAATGAAAAACAGAGCTGTAACTTTAGGTCAACATTCCATGAAATATTAACCTTATCTTGTTGGATCTTGTGGAAGTTCTTTCCAAAACATCTAACCCCAGACTCAAAATTCCGGCATTCTTCCTCAGACCAGAGTGACTCATTCATTGTCTCTGCAGCATTTGCAGGTAAAGTCATCCTGAGACGTCTCAGTGCTTCTTCAATGTTATGTCCACACTGTTGGAGCATGTACAAAGCTTGTTCATCATCTCTCAGTTGAGTACCCATGGGAATAGGAGGTTTAGCAATTGCTGCTGCTTTTTTCAAGAAGTCTTCAACAACTTCTCCTAAGACCACTGAGGGGTCCCACAAGAGCTTATCTTCATTCTCATAAGGAAGAGCATCATCATAGTGACAAAGACCTTCTGGTATTTGTGCTTGGTAGTCACTACCTACCATGATGGTCTGAAAAATAAGTAACATGTGGCAATAACATAAGAATAAAGCTAGGTTTCTGTATAATCATAAATAATTTAAAGCAATGTTTCTTTCAATGAGTAAGGGATGGGTGTGATCCTATTGAATAAATTGGAAGCCAACTTTTGAAATCCAATGGTGGTGGAATTTCTAGAGTAATTAAACTATGGCAAACCATTGGAATTTCCCAAAATTTCTTGGAATAATTGTGAGCTTCAACAAGCCAACTTTGGAAATCCAATTGTGGTAGAATATCTGGAGTAACTAAACAATGGCAAACCATTGGAATTTCCCAAAATTTCTTGGAATAATTGTGAGCTTCAACAATAACATTTCTCAATCATGGTGTATGTATGATACACTGTTGTAACTATGAAATGATGAATAATGTATTATGAGATGAATGATATGATCTACCTTATTGACCTTTCTCCATTCATCTTCATCTGGGCTGTAATCATAATCCTCTTCTTCCTCCTCACTCACTCTGGAAACAGCTGAAACACCAATTCAAATCAAACTCTTTCCTTTCAACCAGCTGGCTGCCTTTACTCACAGCGAAGTAAACGAGAAGCATCTTGATCATTATCAGGTATGGGTTCATATAAAGCCCTCAATTTTGATGGCTCTTCAGGAGGGGAGGATTCACTTTCTTGTTCTTCCATTTGTTCAGATACCCCAGAATTTTCAGCCAGTTCCACTTCTTCCTCCCCTTCCTCCTCTTCAGGACTTTCGTTTTCTTGATTTTCTCCTCTATACCCATACAGAGCCAGGAGTTGTTCCAAAGGCATATTACTTTCCTACAATGTTAGTTTTTATTAATCAGTTACAGAGTGGATTGGTGTAGTATTGTTATAGTTTGGTACCTTCTGCAAGCTCGACAGTTCAGCACCTGGATCTTGGGATTCACCTGCTGCTAAAGCTTCCTCTTCTTCAAGGGTCCTTTCGTCATCAAAATCATTCACTAGCATATCAACAGAAGGATCAAATAGTTTATCCTTCGTTGGGGAATCGTTCTCTTTTCCATCATTTTGATGAGAAATGACCTGTTCCATGTTCTACCCACTAATCATCACTATTTGCAAAATTTCAATGGGAAAACAGACAATTTCAATCCCTAAAATAATGTGAAGTAGAAGTACTAAAATTAGAAACTGAATATATGTTTGAACTTCTCAGATTGTAAATTTTGGATTATTTTCCTTTTATTACATCAAAACAAAAATGATGTAAGGTTAGGGCACATACTAGAATAGGCGGGCTTCTAGATTCATTGTTTAGCATGATTCTTGAAAAGAAATTATAAGATCACACACATAAAAAATATAAAAGTATATTTCAACTACTTCAACACTATGGATATTCACACAAGAATTTTGTTGAAATTATATTTGTTTTGTTTTGATTTCCCTAATCGCAATTATCATTTCCAAGAGGTTTGTTCGCTGTTTCTGCATGAAATTACTAACAGAGATGAGATAAATTTATGCTCAGAAAACAAACTCTTTTAACCTAACAACTATCTGCACTCTGCACTACACTTCTCACATCTCCTCCAGACTGTTTTGGCGGTAGTTGTGTCAGGTTGTGTTACAATACTGACAACGAACAGATTGTGAGTGTACATCATATGACACCGAACGGTATCAGTGCTACACAATCTTCTCTGGTGCACATTATTGTAGTTATTGGAGGCATCGAACAGACCTGTTAATCAGACAGAAAGTTGAATTTGGTTGAATCCTATGTATAAAGTTTTATGCGTCACTTTGAATGGAAACAAATAACGGATTCAACCTCGTAATCAACTAAATAATAAAATACATGTCATATCTCCAAAATCATAACCCCTAATGAAATTGAGTACGCCACTGAATTCTTCGCAAAATTCTCTGTTAATTAGGTAGATAATGTATTCGTTGTAACTCAGCACAACCTTATTATTTCTAATAACCTCGTAGAGAAGCCTGGCAGTCTGAACCAAAATGTACATTTAAATCTAAAACACCCTATCCCAGTCAACACACGGACATTCGATGGACATCCATTGGACGTCCATTTAGGATATTTGGGATATCCAGAGAATATCCAGTGATATCCGATGTATATCTTATGGACGTCCAATGGACGTGCCGAGTGGAAGGAGTTGGACTTCTATAGGATATCCTTCAGGGACATCCATAAGACATTTTTCAGGGATATCCATAAGATATTGTTCACAAATATCCATAAGACATTTTTCAGGGATATCCATAAGATATTGTTCACAAATATCCATGAGATATATTTCAGGGATATTTACTAAATATCCTTAACAATATAGAACACCATGTATATTATTCCATAATGAATTAGGAACTATTATAACGAATTCAACGGTACCGGATTGGATAGGGTTATTTCAAACGATTACGAAGATATGGCATTCGAAGTTTTCATATCGAGTTTCATAATAATATGCTCATTGAGGATATGGAAATGTGAATATCTTTCTAATCGTTTGTAGAAATCCTATCAAACACAGTATCGTTGAATTCGTTATGATAATCCTTAACCGATTATGGAATAAAATACAGGGTGTCCCGTTTGAAAATGCCATCCTCGGTTAAACCAAAAGTGCGGTAAAGCAAGTACTTAGATATGTCGATTAATATAAAATGAACTATAATTCATGACCCCAATTGACGTTTTACTACCTACAATAATGAAAAAGTTATAGGAGTGAACCACCTTAAGCTTTAGCTCAAACCTCATGAAAGAATTCAATTTACCATGACTTTCGACATGGATGCATTTTTAGACCAATCAGAACGATTCTAGCCATGGAGGTTGATTCGAATTGAATTCAATCTTTTGAGAGATAAATAGAGGAGGCGAGGTGGCCGGATTTGAATCGCGTTATCCCTAGCGCAACAATGAAGCTATTTTCCGAAATGCTGTTAAGGTGAATTCAAGAATTAGATTCACTTAGATTTTTCCATCTTTCTCTTGGAAAATTTGTCATTCACGCGAATGCCATATTGATTTATATTTTATTGCTTCAGAATATTTTATTACTATCCATTGGGAAAATACCTACCCAGTTTTGAATTCAGGGATGCGAATATATCTTCTTATGGATCTCCATCTCAATCCCAAGGAAAAAAATGGAGATACAAGTTATTTCTGAAAAATCATATTTTTGTGCGAAAATGTTGAAGAACAAAAGTTATTTTGACATAAATATGATTTTATGTTTTCTTTGGATATCTTCTGGCTATCCATAAGATATCTTCTGATGGATATCCGCTATAAATCCATGGATGAATATCTCGTGGATGTCCATCTGAAGACCACAAAAAAGTAAATATATGAGAGCTATTTTCGAGTGATTGTATATTTTTGTACGAAAACATTGAACAACAGGGAAAAATTCCAAACTGTGGTGTTGTTATTTATATGATTTCATATTTGCATCGGATATCTTAATTGTGGCTATGAACATATTATACCTACATAACGATAGTTATATGATGGAAAACTACCTTTGAATTTCTAATAAACATGTGATTTGCATGTTATATTCGTGATGATTCGTATTGTTTTGAACCATTCTCAATTAACAATTTTTGTTCGCTAAACGAACATCTTATGGACGTCCATAGGTGATCCGCATCAGAATATCCATTTGATATCCTCTGACGGATATCCTATGGATATCCATTTCATGTCCCAGGATATCCCGACCTGAAATGGACTTGAGAAGGATATCCATAGGATATCCTGTGTTATCTGGGATGTATGTCTCCTTGTGCATTTTACACTCTTAGAGAAATTTGCTAGAGTTTTTCATTACTTTTGACAGTGGAATTCGTTCAAATCACTAGAGATTTTCGTGAAAATTATATTTTTAGCCTGTGTTTGATTTTTTCAAATCGTTATAGACTTTCAAAAATAATAGTGCCAGTATATCCGTGTTCAATTCTTTATCTTATATCTTGTATACTGTATATATCTGTTCCCCCTGTAAAATTTCATTATCGTCATTAGTCATAGATAAATCATTTGTTCGGAGATTAATCGGTTTGCAGCATGATTCAACCTATTAGTCATTCATTCGAGACCAGGTGTTGAAAAAAGACAGTCTTATATTAGATGTCATCATGTACGGTCGAATTTTGTGTTCGCAATTGAAAAATACGACGCGAACGGAATTATTTATCGTTCCAAACGGAGTGTTCACTTCAAAATGAGTGCAATTATAGTGTTTTTGTATCCCTCATTCAATTCAGTGATTACATATTATCGCGATCGTGTGCTGTTCTGGTGTTTCGTGTTGTTTCATCGAAGCTTCGCAATTTTCACGCTGGTGATTAAAGAGTAATTCTCTCAAGTCTCCCCGTATTTCCCTCTTTTACTTTTAACTCCATTATCTTATATGTTTTTTTTTTTTTAATATCATCAAACTTTATTAGCACAGTACTCTTCATTACACTACAATATACATAAAGTACAAAAAAAAATCAAGAAATACAAATTTTACAATCCAAAATAAATACAAGTTACAATATAACAGTAGCTCAGTGTTTGATAGTATTATAATACAATTTTCACAGTTTGAAATAGTACATACATCTATAATAGGGATGATGAAAAACTCCTAATCAGCAAAGAGAATGCTGGTATCGGAGTACAGTTTTCTTTAAATGCGGTATTGTGGTAAGTAAATTCTGTTAGTTAAATTCATTGGTTATCTAGGATATATCTTTTAAGTTCTTCGTTGAAATGTTTGTAATTGTCTATATTCCTTATGTTTATAGGGATGTTATTGTATGTTTCTACACTTCGGTTAATTGGATTATTTAAGGCTATGTTGGATCTTACGTTTGGTAAATAGAGGTTATTGTTAATCAGCTGTCTTGTTTCATGGTGGTGAATATTATTTATATAATTGAATGGAGTGTTACTTTTTTGTTGGTTTGTTTTTACTTTATATATATACTTGCTTTGCTCCATTTTCAGAATTTTCTTAATAGGTACTATTTTTGTTTCTTTGTACTGTTGGTGTACGATATTGATAGTTGAAAAGTATTTTTATTATTTTGTTTTGAATTATTTGAATTTGTTTTAATTTAGTGATGGAGCATATTCCCCAGATTATAATTAGGTATCTAAGGTTTGAGAGGAAGTAGGCATTATAAATTAGGAAACGATTTCGGTTGTCCAGATATTCCTTACATCTGAAGAGCGCACCAATCATCGGCACAATTTTGGATGTGAGGTGGTCGATATGTTTTTGCCAGTTCAATTTATCATCTATTACGAGGCCTAGGTATTTTATGTTGTCAGTTTTGTTAATCAGTTCTCCATTTATGTTTATAGTAATCTCTTTGACTAGTATATTTTTTTGGTGGAACAACATGTACTTCGTTTTTTTAGTATTGATTTTGAGTTTATTTTTCTTTAACCATTGTGTATAGGTATTCAAATCGTTATTTACTGTCTCCTTTAAAATTTCAGTGTTTGTACCACTATATACCAATACTGTATCATCTGCAAATGTATAGTATTTTCCAGATAGTTGTGCCTGCCTTAAGCTTAAAACATGAAGTGTGTACAATAAGGGTCCCAGAACAGAGCCTTGAGGTACTCCACACAATTATTTGTTAGCATTTCACTAGATATGTTATCTAGCGAGATATATTGTTCTCTATTCCCTAGATAACTGTTTAGAAGATCATATATTTTACCCCTTAAGCCCATTGTTTCACATTTACTTAAAAGTATCCTGTGGTCTACAACATCAAAGGCCTTTTGGAGATCAATAAATACTGTTATTATTTTTTTTTATTGTCAAGTTCTGTTGTTATGTGATTTCAAAATCACAAACGTACCGTTTGTTGAATATTTTCCGATGAAGTAATACTTGTTTCTGAATTTCGTACTTTCCGTTCACAACGGTATTTTTTCAGAAGAAAATAATGCGAAAAGAGCAAACCAGAAGAAAATAAGACGATTCGAGATTATTTCATGAAAACATATTGTTCGCCTATACAGGCTGTTTCAGATTTATATTTACATACATCAATGTGTCTACTATCTTTCATAACTGTGATACAGAACGTACCTAATCTTTATTTTGGCAAAATCTTTATCTGGTCAGCTCATAACTTTTGAACCATGGTATATAATCGATTCATACTCGATAGGTATATTCTACTTATATTACAACTTTTCAACAGGGTGCATCCAATTTGACTTTATTTTCATCATTATTTTTCAAAATAGAATTTCAGTTGAACTCCTAATTCCAATTCCAATTTTATTAGAGTCAAATTAGGTGAACCATCGATAGTTTTCATTCCATAGAATAATTGCTAATTAGATATTTTCAAGTACTCGTTACATTTTCAGTATTTCAGAAAATAATGATAGTTTGAAAGTTATAAATGAAATTCTTTTTTTTAATCCTAGGTCAATATCTCCGAAACGAAGCGCGATATACTTTTTTTATAGTAAGTAAGTACCAACATTATTTTGGCTCACTCTATCAGTCCTATTATTTACAACATTATCTTTCCGGGCATCCTGTATAGTGTGCAAATTTTTCCTAAAAACATTTTTCACTCATTTGGGATTGAATCAAAGTTGCCAATAACATTTAAATAGCTGTGGACACAACAGAAATGCCATGGAAACAAAACAGGCATTTTTTGACATCTCTGTCGGTCTTTGAATTAAAATGGGTTATTCAGCAGTGGAAAAATACGAATAAGTATAATTGTTATATTATGAAAATATTGCGGAAACTTCGGTAATGCAGCAAGAATTTAGTCTAAATGGGATTTCTCTTCCAGATTAACAAGCAAACAGACAGAAAGTAAAGTGTTTGATACTTGCCACAAAGTCGGAGAAAACCATCCAGTCAAGACGAACCGAACAAAAGATACGCAAAGAGAACTGACCAGAGTGAATTTTTCAAAATTTAGATCCTTATATCCGTACGGAAGGCGATATATTGTTTTCCTGTCCAGATTCATTCTCAAGCAAACAGATAGACAGATATTCACCTTTATGTCTCTATGAAAACACGACAGGTACCCTTACGAGGGGAGAGTATCAACTCGGCGTTCATAAACCCTCTCTGCAAAGGAGGTAGACGCGTGGTGGGTTAGGTATATACAGTGTTTTTCATTGCAGAGAAAATTGTTGTTTATCTGCCTGCCTCGTCTTCATTGAGATAGTTGATGAATTGATGAATAATTACAAAAATCTATCGCATTTCAGTTACGAATGTTGAAAACAATATTCAGACAAATTTCAAATTGATGCTCAGTTTTAGATCCGAGCAGCACACTGTTTGGCATTCATGTTCCTTATTATGACCCACGAAATTTAAAATGTAGCAGATGTCTACTGGGAAAACCACTATTTGGAAGGAGAGCGAATATGTAGCAATCCAGTTACGGTTGATGGAAATATTATTCAGGTGTTTCAGATTCAACATCAGTTTCAATTCTCATGGACTTTCTGATATGTGATGTTTAGTTGCAGATCCGAAAAGCAAAGTGTTTGATACTTGTCAATAAATTGGAGAAAACCATCCAGTCAAGACGGACCGAACAGAAAATCCGCAAAGAGAACTAACCAGAGTATACTTTTCAGAATTCTGATCCTTATATTCGTACGGAAGGCTATATATTGAATTCCTTTCCAGATTCTCAAGCAAACAGATGAAAAATATATCGCATTTTAGTTACGAATGTTGAAAACAATATTCAGACTTTATAGATTTATATTCTATGTACGTCTCACGATTCAAATTTCAAATTGATGCTTAGTTTCAGATCTGAGCAGCACACTGTTTGGCATTCATGGTCCTTATTATAACCCACGAAATTCAAAATTTAGCAGATGTCTACTGGGAAAACCAGTATTCGGAAGGAGAGCAAATATGAAGCATTCCAGTTACGGTTGTTGGAAATATTATTCAGGTATGTTTCAGATTCAACATAAATTTCAATTCTCATGGACTTTCTGATATGTGATATTTAGTTGCAGATCCGAAAAGCAAAGTATTTGAAACTTAGCAATAAATTGGAGAAAACCATCCAGTCAATACGGACCGAATAGAAAATCCGCAAAGAGAACTGACATAGATTAACGACTTAATCTATGGAACTGACCAGAGTATACTCTTCAGAATTCTGATCCTTATATTCGTACGGAAGGCGATATATTGAATTCCTTTCCAGATTCTCAAGCAGACAGATAGACAGAAATTCACTTTATGTCTCTATGGAAACACGACAGGTACCCTTACGAGGGGAGAGTATCAACTCGGCGTTCATAAACCCTCTCTGCAAAGGAGGTCGGCGCATGGTGGGTTAGGTATATACAGTGTTTTTCATTGCAGAGAAAATCGTTGTTTATCTGCCTACCTCGTCTGCGTTGAGAGAGTTGATGAATTGATGCATAATCATAAAAATATATCGCATTTCAGTTACGAATGTTGAAAATAATATTCAGACTTTATAGATTTATTCTATGTACGTCTCACGATTCAAATTTCAAATTGATGCTCAGTTTTAGATCCGATAGCAGCACACTGTTTGGCATTCATGGTCCTTATTATATTTCAAGAAATCCAAAATGTAGCAGATGTCTACTGGGAAAACCACTATTCGGAAGGAGAGCGTATATGAAGCAATCCAGTTACGGTTGTTTGAAATATTATTCAGGTATGTTTCAGATTCAACATCAGTTTCAATTCTCATGGACTTTCTGATGACTAAGGCTAAGAAGTTAATAGACCTTGGGCTGGTCTAGCTAGACGCTTGCAAGTCGACACGAAAAAGAAGAAGATTAGAGGTTAGATTTTTCTCAAACTGTTTGGTGTTTGCAAAATGAATTTGAGTGAAGTATCAAAGAGTAGTATGAGTCTTGTACAAGACTTTCCTTCTGAATATCGAAGTAAAATTATGAAAAGTATGTGTACTATCATTGACAGGAAAGCGTATTAATTGCCATAGCATTATTTGTTTCAGTGGCGTTATTGTCATTTTCACCAACTGGTCAGGATCATGCAAAGTTTATTGATGATTTTTCAAAAGTCAGCAATATACCAAAAGAACACATATATGAAGTACTCGGTGTTTACATAGGTATAATAAGATTACTTATGGAAAATAATGATGCAGAGTTTTCTCACAAGCTTACCGAAATTGGATTCAGTAATGATTTTTTGGGGAAACTATCTTTTACAGAAAATCGGGAAGAAATAGTCAATAATTTGATGACCAAGAAGACTACAGATTTTGGTAAACTTTCTTCAATCAAGTGGAGAATTGATATAAGTTTGAGTAACAGGTAGAACTTATGGAATAAACAATTTTCAGGTAATTAATTGAAACATATTCTTTCAGTGCTTTGATGAAAAAAATTCCAGCAAATGTTGTGTTTTCAATAACATTGAAGAATAAAAAGAAATATATCATGGAAGTTGAAGCCAGAGAATTTCACAAGCTTAGATTCAATGTTGCTCTGCTTTTGAAAGAAATGAGCTTGCTAAAATCTATCAAGTGATAAGTTCATCACAATGATATAAGAAAATAGTTTTGAAGACTGTGTTTGTCATTGTATTCCTAGTTGTATTCAAAAGTTGTGGTGTACATTGTTTGGCAAATGATACCTCTGGTTTGTAAGACTCAGAGCAGAGAAGATCCTTTGATTATATAATAAGTATGGATTGAATGATGAGGAAACTGATATTTTTTTTATAAAAACAATATATATATTTATAATAACAATATTCTTTGTATTAAAGTACATCTCAAGTCTGTTTCAATCTGAAGTTGAATTCTTCAATTTAGATAATAGTTCACTATTAATGATTATTTGGAGCATACCAGAATAGAATGATGAGCACCCATATATGGAGGAGTACCTGAAAATTAATGTTGAGATATAAATTATATGCAAGTAATTTCATTTTTTCAGTACCATATAACAGAAAACAAACACCCTTGCAACAGGATATCGCCTCAAAAAAATTCCTGTTCTAATGCTAACTGCATCTAAAGTAGAATATGCTCTTTTTACTCTTCTAGTAACACCAGCATCAAATGGGGACACCCTCATAAACTTTGGTAAGGGAACAGAATCTGAAATTTTATAATATATCACATCACACTATAATCATTTTCAACTTCTGAATTAACACAGCTGAAGGTGTCAAATGTTTCTAATTAAATAAGTAATGTTCTTTGTACCATCCTGTTCTTCTACATTCACAACTTTCACCTGGAATCTTTGTAACTGTACTAGATTTTTTTTAAATTCACTCTGAAAAAAATAAAAATAGTTATTGACAATGTTGACATAAATAAATAATTCATCTAGGTAGATGTTAGGAAAACTAACCTCTAATTTCTCAAACTGCAGTTTCAGTGCATTTCTTTCAGTTGTGACAGTTTCAAGAGCATTTTGTTTCACCATTAGTGTATGAGTGAGTGATTTAATTCTTGATTCAATATCCTCATTAAAACTGGGAGTCCCCTTATGTCTTAGAGCTTCTTTCAACTTATGGATTTCATAGTCTTTCACTCTTAACAAATCTTGTACTTGGGAGAACTCTTGATTTCTTTCAAGTAATTCCTGGGATAAAAATCTCCATTATATTGCTTCCTCCTTGTTAAAAGTTTTGTGCATGAAACAAGAACTGAACTTGACAAATTGAAACATTTTGAACTCTAGAAATGCTTGATATTTTCAAAGAAATGATTGATTTCCTCACAAAATTCATGCCTAAAATCACAGATCATCTGAACATTTTTAATCAAATATCCCTTAGTTCCTTTGAATGTGAATATGATAATTATAGCACACCAAAAATCTAGGATTGTAGGACCCACATTTCTGGTGCCCATTGAAAGTTGAATAAATGTACATTCACAGAAATCAATTGATCAGCTGATAAGATTGAGTTTTAAGATGAAAATATAGAACCATCAACTTGCTTTATTTTTTTGTAGGCAGTCTTCTTCAGCAATAGTTCTGAATTTGTTTTCATTAACAAGACTGTATTCCAAAGTTTGAATAGTTGTTTGCAAACCATTCTGAATGACTTGATGTTGCATTTGTAGTGACTGGAATTCCTTCAATAGTTGCATATTTTTCTGAGCTTGTTCCTCACATTTGGTTTGGTGGAATTCAAGTTCTCTCCTGAAGTGAAAGAGAACATGTAAACTAACCAATTATATGTAGGAGACAGTCATACTTCAACTCTTCATTGTAGATGGCAAATACATCTTTAGTCTCCTGATCAATATTATTGTCTTGCTTCAAAGAGATTAGCTTCTCTTTGTCTTGCAGAATTTTCTGAGCTCTAGCTATATACTGGTGTTTCTCTAAATGAGCTTCAGCAAGCTGTTCATTAGCTCTTTCGACTTGGAACTGAAGATTAGCATTTTCATTTCTTTGCTCAGAATAAACATGGGTCAAATTCAGTAGCTGTTTGTTTAGATCTTGATTTTCAAATTCTAATTTGGCTATTCTGTCTTGCAGATGTTGGGACTCTTCAGCTGAAATGAAGCTTTATATTTTTGATCAAGTAACTGTTCTGAAATATATGTAAGGTACCTGTTATGCAAAGAACTTGATGATGACAGTTTGTCACTTTTTAGCAGAATCTTGAGTGATGCATCATGTATGCTCTCTTCATACACACTACTATCTTTGCTCTGTTCATCAAGTGAAACTATTTCACTATCCAAGTCTTCCGGTTTCTCTTGAACATCTTTCTCACTGAATGGTGAATTTTGAGAGTTCAAACTGGTAATTACTGAACTAGCAAGAATATGGCTTTCTTCATTATTTTGTCTTCCATCATATTGCCTATTGACTATGAAGTCTCTAACAGGCTCTTGTACAAGGATACTAAAATAGCCAATTTATCAAAGGAACATGATATAAGCTTAACCAGATTACTTCTCTGTATCACTGATTTTCTGATTAGGTTCGTTTAAAACTGTTGCTGCGTTCTGATCTATTTTATTCAACAAATCTTCTGCCCGACCAGCTAAATTTTGTAACCAAGCCATATTCAATTCAATTTCTATTAATTGTTAAATAGCTAGTAACGACATAATATCATCTTCAAAAAAAACTAAAACCTAACCTCATAGGAGAGGACGTTGGACGTCATCTCGTCATCAGTAGTTCACAGTAGTCAAGGAGCTGGTTCCGATATTCCGAACAGTACTGTCCAGTATATTTTATCGTTCCGATTTTACTTAAATTTACTGGCAACGTTTTGGTTGCTTTGGTGGTGTAGTGTAGGGATGGTAATCTTGAATTGATTTTTTATAAGATCGATCTTTTCGTCTGAAAAAAAATTTCTTCTATTTGATCTCTAGGTATCTATTTTTTTCACCTAAAATAGAATTGAACAAAAATCCACACTGAATGACAAGAACCAAGTTTTTTTCACTCAAATACGAGAGCTATCCAAATAAAATGAGGAATTATTAATGTTCTGTCAAATTAGTTGGTAATTTCTGATCATTCAATGATCATATTATCAGGAGTCAAGATTTTTTTCACACTTCTTCATGTATATTGATGAAAATTTTCTATGATCTAATCGAGGATCGATTTTTCTGAAAATCGATTATTTGCCTTTCGATTTTTGTATGGATCGATTGTTTCTCTTTCGATCTAGATCGATTCCAAGAATCGATCCTTTTTCCACAGATCTTCTGCTTTTAGCGTCACGCTGTCTGATTGGTAACGCGTAATTCTCAAATACGAATTGCTGCATTGTTTTTTATTATTTTATTCAGTTCCCAATGAAATTATTCATCATTTTCGCTTTGATTGAAGTCTGAATTGAAAAAAATGAGAATATCTGAGTATACTGTAAATATAAGATACCTTATTATACATAGCTGCATTAGATAAGTATTTAAATAAAAAACGGAAATAGCTTAGTGGAAAAGAGATAATTGGGTATACACTTCAGAGATACTGCAACGATTTACTAAACATAGGATTTCTCTTAGAAATGAGGGATAATGATAAGTTTTCGAAAGTTCTCTATGTTCATGGAATTTCTTGCGTTGAAAGAATTGATAATGTGTATTGAGGTTTCTGAAACATAAATTCAACTCAACACAAAGCAGCAACGCCAAACGCCAACCAAGGGATATTTCATTCACATTCCCCGTTAAATAGGTCGCCAGCACGATGGCCCTGGAGGTAAAATATTGGAACACAACTTCACTCTTCTGTGAATTATTGAAACACAACGTCACTTTTTCATTTGGTTACAGAAGAATCAGACGATTGAAATAGTTTTTCACACTATTATGGCAAACGAATCGTGGTTTTTGCGCTATTCATTAATTCAAGCATGCCTTCGCATTATGCTGTTGTAAAATGCACAAAAAACGCAGCGAGAGACGAAGGAACATGATTTTTCAGGTGAATAGTAATCTCACATAGTTATCATTATGAAATGTTGTCATTCCTTATTAAATTCCTTCTGCGACTTCTGCAATACAAGCTAATACTGCTAATGGATTGAAGATGTCTACAACACAAACGATCATATTTCGTCAGCATGTCAGACCAGTCCTCCCGTTTGATTGAATGAATCCAATCTTCTTGCATTATTTCAGAAATTTCAAGTGTATTTCTATTAGCTCCAATTGCAGAAGGAATTCCGATGAGAAATCAGAGAAATTACCAAATTGCAAAAATGAAAACTATATGTGAGTGACTATAGGAGGTATTACTTTTAAATCATAATATACCAACAGGATTCCTTCGTCTTCTGCTGCAGTTTTTGTGCATTGTACAACAGCACAATGTGATGGCATGAGCGAATTAATGAATAGTCGAAAAATACGATTCGTATGGCAAAAGAATTGTGAAAAACTATTTCAATCACTTGTAAACAAATGAGAAATGTGAGGTTGTGTTTCAATGTTGTTCCTCCAGGGTCGGTCTTCTGACAGTTCTTGCACGCAACCCATAACCAACAAAAGTTGACGTCATTATCCTTTCACGTGAAAGGTTAATATACTGTGAGTGAAGACAACCTTTACTCCACTCTTCAGTAAGTGTAGCTGTAAGCTGTAAGTCTTGAGCAACTTATAGATGTCGCCAGGATTATGCAAATTTACGCATATTTATATTGACAATTTTGACGTATCCGAAATTAGATAAAAAAAATAATTTATTATTTGTGTGCTCCATTGTTACTATTTATGTACCTTCCACTATTGTGACTATTGTAATCATAGCTGTATTTTGATGTTTCAAAACGAAAATTACCACAATAATTATTCCTAAAATCCCTACACAAGTACACACAATGGTCTCTTAGATCAGTTGAGTTATGGAATGATTCTAATAAATACAACCTGAATGTGTGACGGGCAAAATTATGGGGAATTGCTTGAAAAGATCGACCACAGATGATATTTCTTTATTGAGGGGTAGCGACAGTGTTAGAGATTCATCTTCTGACCAGCTGGGACCCCCTGCATATCAGGTAAGTGACAATCAGCTGTTCATATAGACAACAAGTAATGGCTGGCTTATCTCATTAGGAAGCACTACCAATCCAAGCTGCTTCTCCTGTTTACCATCCATCACCTAGTGTGACTCGTACAGTGACCCAACTAACAGAGGAGGAACAGGTGAAAATAGCAAAACGTATTGGTTTGATACAGCATCTCCCAACTGGGACATATGATGGTTGCAAAAAGGCTAGGGAATGTGTTATTTGCATGGGCGAGTTTTTAGTAGGTGATGCATTACGGTATCTTCCATGTATGCACACTTATCATATGACATGCATTGATGATTGGCTGATGAGAAGTCTTACTTGTCCTAGTTGCTTGGAGCCTGTGGACGCCGCCTTGCTCACCAGTTATGAGACCAATTGACGGCCAGTGCCTTTGCATCTGATAGTGAAACTCTGTGATCTGTACTGTCTGTTTTGTGGGCGTGAATGCAGTATGAAAGAGAGGCTGTGATAATAAATTAGCAAGGAAATAACTATAGGATACATTTCTATCAAAATAATTATTTTTGTTATACTTTCAGTCAATTTTAGAATTTTAGTGCCAACAAAATTTAATTGATTATTTTCCATCTATGAGATTAGGTTATATATGAAAATTCATAATTATGGGCATCATCATAAAAACAAATCACTGTGAGATGTGATGAATTCATCTATTGAAGAGAAATTATGAAAGTTAGATGAGTTGTATACATTTTTAACAAAATTGGATTTATGAAGATAACATGGAAGGGGATACTTACTAGCATTTATGAAAGTATCCATATTAATACTATGATCATTGCATTTTTATAACTGTTGCACAAAGTGAGAGTATTGAAAAAAAATTGGTTTCATCAAACTTTTATATATTTGAAATATAATATGAAATAAATATAATATGACATGTATTGTACACCTGGCACTGTTTTCATTTCACTGATAATTTTTTTCACATGTCAAAATCTCTGACACTTGGTATTTCAACCAATAGCAATGCTTGATTCTGGCCAATCATTTGGTATTGTACTGAAGAAACTAATCCCTCTTGATAAGACCTTGTTTAATATAAAACTGTCAAAATCAATTAAATTCACCTGCTCTGCTTGACATGTTGATTCTCTTGACCTTTATCTTATGTATAACAATCAAATTGATTATTAATTTTCAAAGAAAACAAATCGTGAACTGTTTTATTGTCATTGAACAAAATAACACATACATTTTATTTCCTGAGAACATTTGGAGATTGGGCCAACAAAGGAATCTCATTTGTCACCGCAAATGTATGCAACACACAACACATCACCATTCCATAGATCATGGAAGGAAGACTGCAAATACAATTTGACTTCTGCTTTAAATTGTTATCTATTTTGAACTGGTGAAAAAAATTATTTTCTATTTTTTTTTTAATGTTGGTGGAGCAGTGTGATACATTTTGATACAAAAGATTGTCGCTCAGATCCTTGTGAAAATTGACTAGAAATCGTTCAATATTCTTGTTAGGCATGTTTCTTTCTTATTTTTTCCTTAATCCAAAATGGTTATTTCCTATTATATATACTTATAGGTTGACAGTGTAAATAAATCCATAGATTGTTAGATTTGTCTTTTAGTATTTTGAAGTGGTATTAAATATCATAGAATGAATAGTGAAAGAAATTACATAGGTAATATTTCTTTAAAAAAATGATTTGTTGAATACTGCAATTTATTATATTGTTTCCATACATACATAGGTATTAATAATCTGGTAAACATGAATGTTTCAAATTATGCAATGAAAACCAGTAGGTAATTAAAAGCTTTTCATCAAATGGTAGTGATGTTTGTCATATCTTTATAGTATTTTAGATTCAAAATACCAAGTATGGACAGGGAGAGGTCATTCCACATAATTTCCATCAACTCATCACTATTGAGTGGTCCTAAAAGACAATTGATGAGACAACTACTTATTCTTTTCTGGTCATTGCTGAGAATGATCAATAAATTTGTATTCCATTTTCCTTGTATATTATATCCCAAATAACCTTCAAAATGTAATAACTTATTTTGATTAGTACCTACATTAAAAAAATGGAATATTTGTATGGAATTGAAGGTGATTTTGTGATAACTATTTGAACAAACATGTTTTGCACTAAATACTGGTATATTTGTTGTGTTTCCAGAAAATATCTCATTTAAGTGAAACTGCACATTCCATATACACCGTGTCCCAGCTAAAATGTCTCCCCCTGTAAAAAATCAACCGCGCGATCGAATGACTTGAAATTTGGTCACCCAGTATATTTGATGATGCTCACTCGAATTATGCTATTGAATAAATCGTAGGTATACAGGGTCACACCGAGGTGCACCTCAACTTTATTATTTGAATAGGGACACCCAGTATATTATTCCATCTTCAAGTAGAGTTCATTATTACAAATTCAACAATGCCGGGTTTGATGGGATTTTTTCAAACGACTACGAAGATATGGCAAGAAATAAAACGATTCAATAAAAAATTTATATGATCAGATTTCATCAATATAACAGGATTGAAATCGAATGAAAAGAAAATAATTAAAATCTGATAACCACCAATTGTCTCGATGGTGATAGCAACTGGCCAGCTTGGTCGCCAGACCTCATCCCACTTGATTTTAATTTGTGGGGCTACTTGAAACAACAGGTTTATGAGTCGCCAATTGTGAATGTGGAAGAAATAAAAGAGAAAATCATAAATTTATGCACACAAATTGATCGCAACGTGGTATGTACATAGGGTCACAATGAACGTTATCAGATGAGCTAGGAAATGTTTGCAGCAGAATGAACGACATATTGAGCAGTTGAGGTTTTAATTATTTTCTTTTCATTCGATTTCAATCGGGTCATAAAACAAAATCTAATCATATACATTTTTTATTGAATCGTTTGATTTTTTGCCATATCTTCGTAGTCGTATGAAAAAATCCCATCAAACCCGGCATTGTTGCGAATTTGCAATAACGAACTCTACTTGAATATGGAATAATATACTGGGTGTCCCTATTCAAATATTAGAGTTGAGGTGCACTTCAGTGTGACCCTGTATACCTACGATTTATTCAATAGCATAATTCGAGTGAGCATCATCAAATATACTGGGTGACCAAATTTCAAGTCATTCGATCGCGTGGTTGATTTTTTACAACGGGGGACATTTTAGCTGGGACACAGTGTATACCTAATAGGTAGGTACCCCCCAATTTCTATATCTCTGCTTTGGGGTAGAGTAGGTATTTAATCCCTGGATACATAATATATGCATCTGATGGAATATGATGGATTGTCAAATTGAATAGCAACAACAATTGAATAGCAACTCCTATTGAAAGCCACTTACGTTGTTTCCAACAAATCATCTCATGTACTACTTGGAATGGAATTTTCTTCCAACTATAGTGTAAGTGTCTTCATTTTGCAGAAGATGGGGATACAACATAGCCAATTCTATAATACTCAAATGCTTTTGAAGAATGAACACTTGAAATTTATCATAATAGAACATGTTCTTTTTATCATCATTTTGTACAATGAAGATGACTTCAATAACATACCTATCTATTGAATGGTAGGTATATATCATCATAACTCTGTCATCATCTTGCCAGGAATCTGAGTAATCTCACATTAGTCATGAAAATAATGACAGGCCCATATCACAGTATAGTATCTATAAGATTAGAATAATGAACTGTGCCCATAAATATATATGGATATCGTTTCCCTGTCCCTGAAGATGGTCGTTTCTGAGTATTTCCGATATGTGGAAAAAAGTACAGGGTGGGCAAAATTGGGCGTTTTCACCGTCTATCTCAATAACAAGAGGAGTTATCGAAAAACCGATATACATGTTCCGGGTTCGATTTTGGAGAAACCTCGAATGGTACAATCAAAATTTCGATATCTTCATTCGTTTTAGAGATACAGGGGGAAATTGAAAATTTGCCGATTTCGATTTTATTTTCTGACTACTTTACGGTGAGAGGTATCAAAAAATTTCAAACGTATATTCTTACAGTATGATGCGTGGAATCCGTTGGCATCATCAGAAATTTTATACAGGGTGACGTTGAGAAAATACGGCAGCCAATTATGTTTTTTCTAACGGAACACCCTGTATATTTTGGCACAGTTGAATAGTCCCAGGCGTTCTCATTACAAATATATATATCACCCTACCTTTTCCTTCCACAATTTCAGATATATTCGCAAAAACATATTCAGTGTGTCACATTTCTTATGGTTACACCCCCGTATCTTCTGTAAGAATAATTGATGGAAACATTAACAATCATAATATTTTGTGGCAGAATGCCTGAATATGATACTTTACCCATTATTTCTAGTATGCCTTGATATTTTTGCGTTCAAATAGATAATAAATAAAATATATATTTGAAATTGAAACGGGAACTTTCCAGCTCTGCCAAAATATACGGGGTGTTCCATAAAAAAAATTGTTCTGTATCTGGAATTTGGACATCTTCTATGAGGCTATATTTTTCAACGCAACCTACTGATTTCCTAATTGAGTAAATTATTGGTCTTATTTCTGTATCTCAAATGTTTTGATAACAATGATATCAAATCGAATAATTTCCCATTTTATTTCTCACCAAATATCCATTTATCTGAAAATCACATTCCCTATGATATTTAATTTCCACATTTGGTGAATATATACAGAGTGTCATTTTCAACGTCGATTCTGCCTGTTGATAGCATTACCCAGAAATATCGATGATTCCATAGCTGCTGGCGAGCAGTGTTATCATTGGAGATGATCCCACTTGGTCCATGACTCCATGAGTGTATCATTTGTATCTTTCTGACAGTTGCGAATTTTTGAATCCTACCTCAATTTTTACAGAAGATACGAGGGTGTAACCATAAGAAATGTGACACACTGAATATATTTTTGCGAATATATCTGAAATTGTGGAAGGAAAAGGTAGGGTTATATATATATTTGTAATGAGAACGCCTGGGACTATTCAACTGTGCCAAAATATACGGGGTGTTCCATTAGAAAAAACATAATTGGCTGCCGTATCTTTTCAACGTCACCCTGTATAAAATTTCTGATGATGCCAATGGATTCCACGCATCCTACTGTATAAATATACGTTCGAAATTTTTTGATACCTCTCACCGTAAAGTAGTCAGAAAATAAAATCGAAATCGGCAAATTTTCAATTTCCCCCTGTATCTCTAAAACGAATGAAGATATCGAAATTTTGATTGTGCCATTCGAGGTTTCTCCAAAATCGAACCCGGAACATGTATATAGGTTTTTGGATAACTCCTCTAGTTATTGAGATAGACGGTGAAAACGCCCAATTTTGCCCACCCTGTACTGCTGTTAATTAAATGCACTATTTTCAAGTAAATTCGATTTAGACATGATATGCATAATCATGTCTAATTATGCACGATACTTTTTGAAAAAAAAAATGTTTTTATTATTTCATATCAACACAATACTTAATTCGTTGTCCCCAATATCTCTAAGATATGTTCTCATTTTTCAATTTTGTTACACGCAAAGAACGCATGGGAATTTTTTATCCATCATGAAAGTTTTATAGAGTTATAGAGGAACATTTCAATGTCCTGAATCTAATGTAGATCTAAAAAATTAAGCAGATTCGGGCTAATGCGTGAAAATATGTTTTCTTGAAATCATCCAGGAATTATTGCCCTTCAATATCAGCATTCAATCTTACCAATTGTGTGTAAGAAGCTCAAACATCCAATATTTTGGGACAAAATGGTTGAAAAAGAGCATAAAAAATGTTTGGATAGGTAGGTAGGTAATATTTTACCTTACCTACACATAGTTTAGGCCAGTAAACGTTTCATCCCCAATGATTTCGGAAATATTTAGAAACTACTAAGTATCTTCAGGAGAGGCGATGTTTACTCAAACTGTTCCTAATATAAAATCATAGAAATCATCCATTTTTCTCAAAGTGGTCCAATTGATTTTAAAGAAAAAACAATGAAAATCCCAAAGTCTGTCGACCACAAAATCATTTAATAAGCGACGTGTTACTAGTTTCGGCCACAGGCCATCATCAGACACAAAAATGATGTTTATATGAGTACCTAAAATATAATGATAGACAATGTTATGGGGTAAAAAGAGTCATACAATCATCTCAGCTTCCATTTGCTTTTCGCATTTCTTGATGAATCTCACGTGAGAGAATTTTTGAATAATTAGTTTCTGATGTACTTCGCCAATAACCCAATTTTAATTTGGTTTTACTGGACATTCTCCAGATTAAAAACCACTTGAATAT